TGTGACGTCAGCATACTCATCCAAGCCAAATCGAGGTGGTGGTACCCCTTTTGTGGATCTTTGAGATCGTCGAGGATGGCTTTCTTCTGCATCCGTGTTTCTTTCCGTAGGCTCTGTTTGTCGTTTATCTTCCTTTGCTGGTTCTGGACCCATCTTCAAATACTGTTTTTGAGATCCAAAATCATTTTCATTGAAGTTAACGTCTCTTCTGATCACTATTCTCTTGCTCTGCATATCAAAGAGTCGGTATCCTTTCTGGTTTGCACTGTAGCCCAAGAATCGAAGTCTGTTGGCTTTCTTGTCCAACTTTCTTCGCTTAGCCTCTGGAATATGAGCATAAGCTATGCAGCCGAACACACGAAAGTGGGAGACATCAGGGGGTTTTCCATACCATTTTTCATACGGTGTTTGACCTGATGCGCTGGTTATAACACGATTCCTTATGTAGGCTGCAGTGTTGACTGCTTCTGCCCAGAAGGTCTTGCTGAGTCCGGCATGGTTCATCATCGCTTTTGCGGATTCAACGAGAGTCCGGTTCATGCGCTCAGCCACTCCATTCTGTTGTGGAGAGTGAGGAACAGAAGTTTCGTGTTTGATACCTTTCCTTTTCAGAAGATTTTCAAAGTCATTTGATACATACTCTCCGCCATTATCTGTACGCAAGGTTCCAATTTTACATGCAGCTTCATTGGTTGCAGAGGCTTCGAATTCTTTAAACCTTATTAGTACCTCGGACTTCTTTCTAATGAAGTAGACTTTGACACATCTCGAGTAGTCATCAATGAATGTGACAAAATAACGCTTTCCTGAAAAGCTCTGTATTGACATTGGTCCACATACGTCGCTGTGAACTATCTGTAATTTTCTAGAAGTCTTGATCCCCTCTGTTGACTTCAAAGGTTTTCTGCTCATCTTACTTTCCGCACACCCTGTGCAAAAGTTCAGTTCGTCATTTCCTTGGATGGCAACTCCTTTGATGAGCTTCTTCTTGACTGATTCCAATAGCTGTTTTCTATTTATATGTCCTAGCCGTCGATGCCAAACATCCATTGTGCTAGGGTTGCTATTTTCCATCCTTTCAGATTGGTGATAAGCTGCTGTTATATCTGTTTCGCAGCTCAGAACGTACATTCGCTTAACGAATCTTCCTTTGCCTACAGCCTTACCGTCCGAGTCTTTTATCCAGCAACAAGTATGTCCAAACTGAACAATGAGTCCCTTCTGTGTCACAGCTCGCACACTGAACAGGTTGCAAGCTAGTTTCGGAACGTAGAGTACATTATCCATTTCAATTGTCAGCTGCTTGTTGTGGCTTGTTTCCATGGTTATTTGAGCTCGTCCTGATCCACGGGCTTCCACTGTTTGTCCGTCACCCAGTTTGACTAATTCAGGCTGGTTGAACTCTCTGTAGTTAATCAAAAGCAGTTTGTTTGAGGTCATATGCTGCGAGGCACCCGAATCCAGAATCCATTGTCTGTTTGTCTCATTTTCTGTTTGTTCATTTTCAGCTAGAAAGAGTTGAGAGTCTGAGTCATCATCTTCCTCCTTTCCTGCAGTCTTTGCATTATGTGTTTCATTTTTAAATGAATTGCTGGGCCTCACTTGCTTCCTTTTGTGACATTCAAAGCTTTTATGACCCTCCTTGCCACAGTTGTAACATTTGCCTTTGAAAGGCCTGCTGATGCCCTTTTCCAAATGTAATGCTGAGTCTCGATTAATTTTAGTCGTTGCGGTTGCTTTGAAGGCCTGTTTTTTCTGCTCTTCATTGATAAGGGCTTGCTGGACGAAGGCCAGTGATAATTCATCTCCTTTAGCTTCCAGAGCTGTAACGAGTGTTGTATAGCTTGGTGGAAGGCTTATGAGCAATGCCACGACTTGCTCTTCTTCAGCTACTGTAGACCCGAGTGCATGAAGTTTATCAGCAATTTCCTTCATACGTTTCAAATGATCTTGGACCGATTGCCCTTCAAGCATTTTTGAAGTAAAATATTGTCTCTTGAGAAACAGCTTGTTGGCTATCGTATCCCTCTCGAAATAGGCTTTGAGAGTATCCCACAGGTCCTTCGGTGTTTCGCATGATGTCACCAAGTAGATAAGATTCGACTGAATTCCCATTACCAACGTCGCCATTGCCTTTTGCTTGGCCTTTTCGTATGTAGCTCTAGATGCTGTATTATCGTCAGGTAATGAAATCGTTCCATCTACGTGATCCCAGACATCTTTCGCCATCAACAAATGTTTCATTTGAAACTTCCATGTAGGCCAGTTCGACCTATCTAATTTTTCGATTTTGAATTTATCTCCAATTCCAGCCATGTGCAGTGGTTTGGTTCTGGGCCCATAACCTGTTGTTTTGAGATTCTATCGACTCGTTCACTGCGAAACATGCAACTATCTAAACTCTACGTGACGCGTGCTAAAAAGTTCTACCTCAGCGATCATTAGAACTTTCTAGAAGCTTCTAATTAGCTGACAATAGAGCAGCAAGCAATCTACTCTAACACGTGTCCTACACTAGCTACTAATTACGAAGGTCATTAGTTTACTTACAAACGCAGCAATTACGTAACTGTTGAGTGCACGTTCCCAACAGAGTATTTGTTGCAGTGACCGATATGGGTCTCAAAAACAATGCACAAAAGATGTCAGCGCAGCCCGATAATGTTATGCAACAGACGCACCTTTTTTTCTATAATTTATGCAACCTGATAAATACAGGAAATGACAAAAGAGATAGAAAGGAGAAATTACTTTTTAATCAACCCAATTCTCGTATTTAATCAACACAGGGCTGCCAATAATCAAGAAAATTCGCAATTTGTTTAAAATTGACTCAGTGACAAAATTTCATTTGAAAAATCTGACTGCTATCGCCTGTGCGTTCTGTGCAACAATCTAGATCCTCCTGTAAAACCACTTAAAAAGGGGGTTTTACAAAAGTGAGTTCGTAGGTCGTTCGCAGAAACGTACACGATAAAGACGGCAAAAACTGTTATCCAATTCTCTATACACTTCTTCTAATTCATCAGTTCACGGCAAACGACTAAAAATATCTTAAACGGCTAGCGGCGACAATGTAACGGCAAACACAATTCTGCTAGCTAGCGACAAGGTACACTGAGTTCGACAAAGCTTACGGCAAGACTGAACCTAACTATAAAGCCATCCCTTATATACCCTGAGAATAATACAATTTACAGAAGCTGATGCAATTGCAGCCCAATGATGCAATTGTCATGTGATGTCCTGCAATGAATGGGAACCCTGTGTTCTAACACTCCCCTCGACTTCGCTCGACCGCTCTCAACAGTGTTCAAAAGCTCCCAACTTTTACTATCAACTCAACAAAAATCGAGATTAAGTCGAGCGAAAAGTCGACAGCGTTTGAATATGGGTTATAATCTCAAATGCAAGTATATCGGATGTTGGGTGTCGTCTTTGATGTTGTTTCCTACATCAAGGATTCCTACATCACAACCCCCTTTTCTAACACTTTAGGTCGGCACCCCTAGAATGAGGGGATATTCAGAAATATATTCATTTGTCTTATATTTCGATGTTTGTTTCATCGGCTGTTTCAAGGATCATGGTTTGTATCCGTTGCCGACACAGTTATTGAAAGAAGAAAAAACAAACTTACGTAAGCGCTTCGCTTCTTCTTCGCAACATTTGATGCAATGCGGCTATTTCTAGTTCTTCTTCCCTCTGCTATATTCTGAAAACAGTGCCCTTGTTCAACGATCAACAGTAGGACTAGAAGGAACACCACAAACCTCTTTATGTTGTTAAGACCTTGCTACAGAATGAACTGCCAATGGCGATTAAGTTTGCCTGCCACCAAGCGATTAAGCTTTATTTTATTTGTCGCAAATGAAAAACGATAAAGATAGAGCGAGAATTGATTGAGAGAAGGCTAATTGGGGCATTTTTCTTAACGAGGTATTGTACCGGCCGTATATCGCCAAACAACAGGGTACATCCCCAATAGACTTGTGAAACCGACTAAATGGCAAAGGTGCAAAATGCTGGACAACAATGGGACAATTTTATGTCCCAACGGGAAAGATACAAAGAAAATTGATTGAAAAAAATTCAGGGCATTTTTGACAAAGACACATTGCATAAGCAGTACATGTATTCACTTTGGAAAAGCAAGAAACATGCCCGTCGGAAGCAAGGGGGGTTGTTGGGGGACTGGGGGGCTCATGCTGCAGTATGTTGCCTTTATAATAGTGTACTGAATGAGAAGGAATACAATTGGCAGCCCCCCCTCCTAATCAGAATTTCGTTCCGACGGAACTGAAGAAATAGTGTAATTGCACTACCTTGGGACCGGTTGAATAGCAAAGGTGCTAAATGTTGTCCATTTCATGTCCCAAAGAGAGAGACAAAACAACGAAGAAAGGTTTTGATCACGGAGAAGTTCAGGTAAATTTTACTCAACAATGGCAGTTAGTGGTAACAAATCTGTTACAACTGGTTTCTCGTGTAATTCAGGGGGGCAGCCCTAGTAAATCAGTGTAATGGCAGCCATATTTTACAAAATTAAAGTATTTTAGCTATACAAGAAAGTTTTTTTTGGGGGTTGGCGGGGGGCTAAGGCCCCCCGGCTTCTCGACCCTTGAACTGAGTTAGAGGTATTCCTTGATGCTCCTACGTATGGTCAAAATTAAGAATACCTAAAACGTGACGGCCTCACTTGAAACGAACTCTATTAAGACCAATAGAATGTGGCAAATTGACTGTATCAAGTTAAAATAAGTCAAGAACTAAGATAGTCTGTTTAAAACCCCTTTATTTACTGCCCCTTTGCATCCTGATTCTCGATGGAACAGATCTACGCATTTTGTGGAAAAATTCTGAAAAACATCAACGAATCTTTGCAACAATTGGTTATAAATAGAAAAGCCTACCCAAATACAGAAATGGACAAAATTGGCTAAGCTATGAAATTGAATATAATAGAAGATATAAGTTCACTTTTGTTGAAGGCTCGCTTCATCATGTCATCAAGATTTTGTTTATAGGGATCTGAAAAGATATTTGAAAAATTAGAAAAAGATGGTAAATCAATTCTCTTGTAACTAATTCAAATTGTCCTAATTTGTTTTTTTCTGATGTTGTGCAGTTTCGTTTATAGGAGTTCGTACGATATCGTATTGTATCTTATCGTATCGTATCGTATCGTATCGTATCGTATCGTATCGTATCGTATCGTATCGTATCGTATCGTATCGTATCGTATCGTATCGTATCGTATCGTATCGTATCGTATCGTGTCGTGTCCTGTCGTGTCGTGTCGTGTCGTGTCGTGCCCCATCGTATCGTTTCGTATCGTATCGTGTCGTGTCGTGTCGTGTCGTGTCGTATCGATCGTACTGTATTGCATTGTATTCAAGTAAATTGTATTGAAGTTGCAAATAACAAATTTGAAAATGGCTTTGAAATAAGCAAAAATTTTATAACATATTGGCTAGAAGCTTTTTCGTCTGATTTTCCTCAGAGCACAAAACGTCAGAATAAGGGTCCGAAAGAACTTGATGGAAAACATTTACAGTCTAGATAGATAATATAAAAACTAAAAACTAAAACTTACCAGTGGTTCAATTTTCATAAGATGAGACCTTTTAGTGTATATCGGAACAGCGATCAATGTAAACACTAAATAAATCCATCCTTGACTATCGTGTCATTTCCAACCCAGCGTGTCTTATTTTACGTGCAGAGAACACGGAGCCAGTGAGAGAGACAGTGTGTTGCCTGTGTAACTCTGATGTGAACTGAACTGAACTTACATAAAAATTAACATGCTTATATACAGAAATGAATATCTAAAATTAACACGAATGATGTAAGGAAAACAAAGGATAGGAAGGGCTAGGCTAAGTGTGAATAGTTTAGGACTTGAGATTTAGGTAGATGTGTAGGGTTAATGAGGGCCTAAACAAAAGAGAGGAAATGTTGACATAGTGATATGCTCGTAGAGTGTAGTGATGAGGTAGTGATGTGAAGAAATTACTGTAGGTAAAATAAACAAAGTAAAAATGGATGGCGATAGGTGAGGAAAAATTAGAATGAATGGAATCACTACAACCTTATCGCTTGGCCTTCCTTCAGAATCCTGAAAGTATTCGGGATCCTCAAAGTTTTGATCTTCGTCAAGCGATTCATCTTCTACCTGTTCATCTGTAAAATGGGAAATTTAAGGTTGGTTATTAAATTTTTATTGAAAAGGAATCATTTTTAATAACATGGGCTCAACTGAACCAGTAGGGAGTGCCTCCAGGGGGTTACAGAGAAGCTGCCATTTTCAGGGTACATTGGAACACTGAGAACAAAAATGGCTAATTGCTCAGATTTGCAGACTACAGAACCAAGGGTCTGGGGTTCGAGTCCCTTACACAACGAAACTTAAATCAGAGTGAGGAGAGTCACCAGCTCTCGGTAATTCCAGGCGTAGGAATCACGAGGTGTGGTCAAACCGAGAGGAAGGACCAGGACACTGCTCGATAAGCATAGCTTCTCAGTGTTCTAGAAGCTAATTTCGGTTTCTAGGTAGAAACACAGATACAAATTGGGTCATTTCGTAGTTTAATTGGGGATCCAGATAATAGATTTTGGCATTGCACATCGCGAAAATCATCTGACTCGAATGATTCCTAAATGTTCTTTTTCTGTTTCTCTACACTCGATAAACCTCTTCAATACATATAAATACACTCGAATGGAGGGGGGGGGGTATTGGGGGGAATGGTTCACCCCCCCAACCACGAAAGTAGGCCCTTTTCGTAGGGCAAAACTGATTTTTGCAGGGCAAATGTTTTTATTAACGGATCTGTTTTGTTGTTTTCTTATGTAACTGTAGCAAGAATGTAGGTTACGCTTGTAATTTGTCTACTCCAAAAGTAAAATGATACTACCAGTGACACGAAACAGACATTGCCAGCGTGATCTTTTGCTGGATGGAATAAATTTCTACATTGATTCTGTTTTCCTTTCACCTTAATTGTTACACCCATTTCTATGGTTACACCCTTGGTTGATATATCTGTCTTATTTAAAAACCATACTAAAAAGACAAGCACCGCTTGCCAGAAAACTAAGACACTGTAAACGGGGCTATTTGGACTAACCGACGTTTCGATCAAAATTTGATGGAATAGTTTTGTATATTTGGGTCTAAATTTGCCTTGACTGTAACCAGATAAGTGACTTTAAGAAGGGAGTCGAATATATACTGTTTTTATATCTTATTTTGTGGATGATATAGGGTGTATTGTTTAAATTCCTGTAGGTTTTCAAGCTTGTGTTTGCCAGATGAAGATTATGTCATCGATAAATCTTTTCCAAAATATTCGACAACAACCCATCTGGGCATTGCTCAAGATATGCTGTTCCTTTGTTGTCATGTATATGTCAGCATAATTTGAGACAAAGGGTTTCCCCATTACGGTGCATTTAACAAAATAAAATTGACCATTACACTCTTCTTCATAAGAGCCAGTAAATTGAAGTTCAGGCTGGTTGTTCCTGATTTTTTCAAAAATCTGAGGCTGGATTGTTCTTAATTTTTTCTTAAATTAAGAGGGTGTAAGCAGTGCGATTGCTAGCTTTTCGCTCTAGGGAGGTGTCCAGGCCTCATTTGCCAACAACGTGAGTGAGACAATCTTCATTTGCTATTTGAATATTCACTGAAGAAGCATCCGAAGAATGCAAAAAACTCTTCGTTTTTGAGATGAAAAATTGTTCAAAGTTACATTTCACATTTCACAAAGGATTGGTCCTTTTTTCTTTACCAATCAGCGACCGCAAGTAACCTCTGTTTTCCTAAATAATTCCTCCTTTCCCGTGCTAGGTGTTTGCTGTATGCTCTCAGACCTTTCCTTAACAAACCTACAGTAGTGTGTGTTGCAGACATAAATAGGAAACCCAGATAAGCAATATGTTATGGTAGATGTCATATTGGCGGGAGAGCGCTCCCTGACTCTGTGAAACCCGCAATTCGCTAATTGTTCGGGAGATGAATCATGTACGTCTTCCAGACATGCACTAGCCCCCGTTTCAGGGTCATTGCACATGCGCATTTTCACTTGAAGCTCTGGCGGGAAGTTGTGAGTTCCCAGACCATGCGAATACTGTTATTAATGCGCATGTGCCATGACCCTGCGACAATGATTGGTTTAAGACGCTATTGTTTCGAAACAAAGGACTGAAGGTTTCGTCTCCCGAACAACTAATATAGTAAAAAAACTCCTTGAAATGTCTGACAAGAGGTTAGGCAACATGTTATGCTAGATGTCATGTTGGCGGGAAAGCTTTTCCTGACTCTATGCGACTTGCAATTCGCTAATACAGTAAAAAAAACTCCTTGAAATGTCTGACAAGAGGTTACTCGAATAATCCACTCACGTGCATCGGCTGATTCTTCCCTTCGAGCGTTTGCTCTGTCCCTTTCCAAAGTCATAGGTGCTTCGCCATTGGATCTTCCTATTTCTGCTACTCTTCTTCTTCATCTCCAACACTCTCCATGGTCAACGATGAGCATGACGAGAAGCAGGAACATCACAAAACTCTTCATCCTGCCTAAATTGCCTTTTCTTGCTTCAAACTGGAGTGCGATTTGTAAAATGCTGTCCTCTATTTGCCTCAAATACAAAAGGACAAAGGACAAATTTAATGGATGATAGGTAGATCAATGCAATGAACCTGCTTTTTGAACTGAATTGGGAAATCAATCATATGGAAAAAATATCAATTTATCAGCATATATATATATATATGAAACACTCTATTTGAAAGAGAATAAACGGTATAGAATGCTTATACACGCCCCTTTAATGCGGGTACAGTACTTGAATAGCATCAGGGACGAAAACAAGTTGCTTACTTGTAACAGGGGTTAGACTTTCTCTAAAACCCTTGTCACTTCGAGTAGTCAACGAATTGAGAGTGAAAACAAAAAGCGAGCGACTCGTGTTGAGGTTAATCACTGACTGAATTACTAAGCAAAAGACTAAGTTTATATACAAACGAAAGCGAGGTTAGCGTAATAATTACGTATGTTAATTAATGGCATATGATCCTACTACATACTTTGGGGGGGGGGGGGCGTGGAAGGATGAAAATTCCAATCAAAAGTAATCAAGTAAGAAACTTTTCATTTGACCAGTAAATCTACTGTACCTACCAAATTGATATTTGTAAATAGCCCGAACACCATATTTCTATTTTCTTTATAATTATCAAAACTTTACTCAATAATTAGCCTAAAGCATAAAAGCCTGAATCTCTAAATTTTGATTAACATCAAACAGACATTTAAACTTACAGTAAGAAGTAAAGCAACATTTAAGTAGTATTCTTTTAGATCAATTGATCAATTTCATCTAAATTGATCAATTAATCAATTGGCGCAGATCAATCTTATCTAAAATACATTTTTTCACGATATAGAAGCACCAAGAATTTGAGCCTTTAATTTTTGTTCTTGATCGAAGAAAACTACTAACAATTTTCAGAGAGCCAAATGCCTTTTCATTCTTTACAATTGAAATGATGATTTGAGAACAAACTCGTGCATATGCCTGATTCGAAAGATGAAACACTCTTCTTGATCAAATACTTCTACTGCAGTTTTTGCAATGTGTTCTTGCTTCACAGCAGTTTTGTCATAGGAATTTATGATAAGGAGTCAAGGGCGTTAACAAATAACAGGGGGAGTTTAGCATAAACTCGTTTTTATAAGAAGCGTTGAGAATTTTTAGTACTGAAAGATTCTTAATCTTTTATTGAATTAACTACTCGTAGTTTCTTAAAAACTTCCACTCTAATATTTTCTGATCAATACGGGAATTATTATTCCAAACTGTGAAGTTTCAAGTTTCATATCCGGAAATTCACCTTGCCTGTTCGTAATTTGATTCAACTCCCGTCAGAAAGAAAGCAAACGGGGCAATTGTGCAATTTGGATCCAGTGGAGACGGGATTCACAATAGAAAACGATTACTGGATGGGTCAGCTTCAGCCTGTGAATTTTAATGCTTAGAATTTTTACATTTGAAATAAATATTTTCTTAAAATATAAAATTCACAAGTTTGTTCCTAAGAAAAAATTCCAAGTCAACCGTTATGTTTTCCAACTGTAACTGGATTTTCCAAACTTTGGGGGGGCGTTACGCCCCCCACGCCCCCCTATTATTTACGTGCCTGAATAGCATACTGGCTCCCAGATCTCGTTCGGCACAAGGCTGTGGGACAACCACCAGTACAGCAAGACGGCGGTTGGTATAACACCAATTTTTCTTAGTTTTCTGACAGGCTGAGCTTGTTATTTGTATGGTTTTAAACAAAAATTGCAGCAAATGATCAGCTTGAGTAAAGTCAATCAAATAAAAAAATATTGAGGAAAATCGGTTAATCAATGAAGTTATATATAAAAGCAGATAGCAGTTTGGTTAGCAAGGTAGAATTTCGTTTTCGTCCAATTAGATGCTTTGTTACCCTGGATATCAGACTCACTATGTATAAAATAAAATAGAGTCTGGTCTATTGCGTCCCATATTTATTAGTGAGTCTGGTACCCAGGGTAATGCTTTGTTTACAATTATCTTTTAGCCAATCAGAGCTTGCCAATTTTGCCTGGTTTGATTACAACTTTCTCGAAATCACCCCTAGTTGTGGAGAAAAAGCAATACTTGAATTTTTGTTTGCCAAGAAAATATACTTGAGATAAAATAAACTAAAGTTAAAAATTTTAAATATTCATAAAATTTACTAAATAGTTACTGCTGCTTTTGAGTGAATTCCTGGTGATATTCCAAAAATTGCAGGCCAATCTTATTGTATCTCACGGGGGGCTTAGGCCCATTTTTCAGGCTGGCCAAAAAGCTTGGCCTAAAGTGACAGGTTTAGAAATATTGGCCCTCTGTTCAATTTTACAATGGTATGGTCCTTTTCAAGTTTTTTTTTCTTCAGCCTTAACTGACCAGTTCACGTTGCTAAAACTCCCTTTAAGTGGTTTTACAACTACCTCAACGAGATTACAAGATTTCTACTGTGATTTACCCCTTCAAATTGCCCAAGTAAGCATTTTAATAGCGGAGCAGACATATACAGAGTTGACATGAGAAGGATGCTAAGAAGCAGGCACAAAGCAGCTTAGGGGAAGGGGCGGGGTTGTGCGGGGACTATTACCCGCACTATATAACTTTTGAAATTAATCAATTTAGTGTAAACGTCACATGTATTTTAAATCTTGCTGTGCTCATCCTCGATGCTCTTATTTTTGGTTAATTTAATGGCTCAAGTTCTATTAATGTTGTATCTATTTCAACATCCACTACATTAACATACATGATCAATACAGTTCTTAAGTGTGATGTCATTAAAAAAACAATTTTTAGAATTTTAGAATTTTGACCACATAACATGAAATAACATCGTAAAATACTCACATACATGCAAAATCAGCTAGATTTGTCAAAACAGGGTGAGCAATAGCCAATAGAAGATTTGAAGTTTGCTAACGGATTACTGTTATTCTGGCCTGGTTCCTAAAGTTATGAACCAAGATCAAATTACAGAGGTTTGATAAGGCAAGAGCCTTTGCTCATCTGGACATATCTCAACCAATTCGTAATACCTTTAACTGATTTTGCAGATTTAGAGGTATTTCATGATGCTCTTTCAGGTTATGGGAAAACATTTCAAAAATTCTATAAATAGATTTTTATGACGTCATCACTTGACAACTCTATTGTTTCTAACACTTTCTTCAAGTGCTCACCCTTACCAAGTCTTTTTGCCAAACTCACGAATGCCACCCAATATCTCATTCTTCCACACGAGATCTTAAAAATTTTCAAGCTTCCCATACTCTTAGAACCTATCTTTATTTAAAACAAAAATAAGCTTGATCTTTGCGCTCTCTCTCTAAATTCAGGCTTACTGTTCTTAATTTTTTTCGAAAATCTGAGGCTGGATTGTTTTTATCTTATTCCTAAACTAATAGGGTGTAAGCAGTGCGATTTCTAGCTCCTCATTCTGGGGAGGTGTCCAGGCCTCTCTTGCCAATAAAATGCGTGTGACAACCTTTATTGACAGCCAAGTTTGAAAATTCACCGAAAAAGCACCCACACATGGCTAAAAATCCTCGTTATTAAGATAAAACGTTGTTCAAAGTTACATTTTACAGTAGCTCAGCCTCAGCTTGTTTTTAATTTGTTCTAAACTTTTGACCAATTTTGAGGCTCGTGTTCTTATAAAATTGTTCTTATAAAAAAGAGTGTATTTCATTACTGTAAATTTCTTAGGGGAATGGGGGGAGGGGGGAGGGCAATAAGAGGTGATCGTTAAAGTAAACACGTTCTGAAGTGCACACGTTAATCGTGGCATCGTTGAAATGGTGACAACCTTGTGTAAATGATTACCAAATTTATCCGTGTAATTATGGGCGGTTCCCCTGGATGCTTTCTCAAAGTGAGCGTTTCTGAAGAGATAGAGCGTCTCTGGATCCGCCCCTGGCTAAGCTTCACCCTGTTCTTAATTTGTTCTCACCTTTTGACCAATTTTGAGGCACGTGTTCTTACAAAATTGTTCTTTTAACAAGAAGAGTGTAAAGGATTTAGATACTCTTGAGCGTATGAGACCCCCTAGAACAATGGAAGCCACGGCCCTGCACAGCTGGATTACAATTACAGCAGGGGGAGCCGAAGAACTTTTTTAAGAAATGATTTTTGTCGATAAAAAAGACGTCACTCAATCTTTAATAGGTGTGGTCATAAGATAAATACGGTAGTCTTATACGCTGCTTTTATGCGTTTTTATTTCATAATTAATGGCTTAACCTAATTACGTTACAATGGTTGCAAAAAGGTTACTTGTTTGGAAAGGTTTCTGTATTTGCACGGCAAAAACACGGAATACTTTACTGTACACTCTTTTTTTATAAGAACCAGTAAATTTGAGTTCAGGCTGATTGTTCTTAATTTTTCCGAAAATCTGAGGCTGGATTGTTGTTAATTTGTTCCTAAATTTATAGGGTATAAGCAGTGCGATTTCTAGCTTTTCGTTCTGGGGAGGTGTTCAGGCCTCTTTTGCCAACAAAGTGCGTAGTCACAAACTTAATTTGCCGCCATGTTTTAATATTCACCGAAAAAGCACCCACACATGGCTGAAAATCCTCGTTTTTGAGATAAAACGTTGTTCAAAATTTTATTTTACAGTAGCTCAGCCTCAGCTTAAATTTTGACCCTTTTTGAGGCTCGTGTTCTTATAAAATTGTTCTTATAAAAAAAAGGGTGTATGTGCTAATGGACAAAGCGTTGGGGTACAGCGCCTCCCGTAACCCCTATTTTGGCGAGAACCCTGATAACAGGACAATGCTACTCTTTATTTAGCAACTCCATGCAACACCCTGCCAAACTAGAGGGTCAAATTGCACCGCAAGATTAACACCGGAATGCCAGCGAAGTTCACATTATTTTGTTGATATCCAACTGGCACTGCAAACATTGTGTCACATGACTCTCCGGAATAAAACAGAGCGAAAACTCATTCTGGTAACGATGGAGCTGCACAATTTGATGCAATTTCTGGTCATATTGTCTTCGATCTTGCAAGGTTTGTATACCCATGTTGTTTACCGCTGTTAAGTATAGGTTGAAAATCGTCCAAAAGATGTGTGCCCGCTTGTACGATTATATTTATCAAATTTCCATAGACAATTAACGTGAGCTGGATAGCAATTTCCTACAAGTCCTCAGGTGTGCAAGAGCAAAATTTAAACTGCACAAGTCTGTACCAACCACGTAGCTGCCGGTCTGCAGAGTGTGGCACTTTTCGACGAGATCTCCGGTGTGCACTTTTCGACGAGCAAAAAGCCTGGTGTGCCGGTGTGCACCACCAAAAATGTCTGGTGTGCTGGTGTGCACCGACTATTTTTCCCTGTTGTGGTTAAAATTTGTAAATTTGCATTTCACCGTAAAAATGCATGTGAAGTATACTGTTGAAGATAGCGCAAGTTTTTATTTGTATATTTGTCAAGTAAGATTCATGATATCTCAATATGTTCATACACGACTGTGCTTGTTTTTATCAGCTGACATTTTATATGGGACCACACCAAGCCACACCAATCTTATTTGCCACACTAAAAAATACCCGGTGTGCAACAGGTTTTGCACAAAAATATCTCCGGTGTGCACATGCCATACTCTGCAGACTGGCGTAGCTGTAGATTTCGGCTAGGAGGGGGGGAGGGGGGCAAACTCGAGGAAGAACCATACCTGATGGGGGGCAGGCTTTAAAACAAGAAACCGGATATTTACCAAACAGATATATTTGGACTGAATCAAGGCCATGGAATTATAGATATGCCAAATTTTCAAAATATCATTTGGAAAACTGTAGCCAGAGGGCGCAAGTTGTTGTCAAAATTTCATTCAAAATGTCAAAAACAAAAGGGGCACAGCCCCCCTCTGCCCCCTGCAGCTATGTGGTGGCTGGTCTGCACTTTGGTAAAACGGAGCACTTCAATTGTGTATACAGTTTATATAACTATCCTTGAGCCAAGGATATCGACGAAGATAAGAAAATGGACATGACTGGTCGTTATTTCTATCATCAAACCAATGCAGGAATGTGTTGATCTTAAGGAAACTTGATTCTTCAGTTGCACTAAGCAAAAGGAAACACCTATGTTATGCCCAGATCTCAAAACGTCACAAACTTTACCAGGTGTGCAGGGATATTTTAGAAAAAAATATCTCGGATATGCATTCGCTATACTATGTTGTCTTCAGGGCCTCCGACGAAGGGGCCAAGGCCCCCCACATTTTTGCAAAACAATAGAGTTTTTTTCAAAATCTTTTGTAATGGGTGTTAAATTTTCCCTTCGCCCCCCCCCACATTTAAACCTTTGTCGGAGCCCATGGTCTTGTACGCGAGAATGCCCCAAACTTTCCAAATTCATTTAAAATATGTTATCTAACCTCTCATGGAAACTGTTGCAGTTTACCTCTTTTAAACTGAAAGGTTGTTTTCCAAAATGCATTGTTATCTCTCAAGAACTTTCCAAATCTCATAATAGACTCTTTATTGTTGGTCTAAAAAGTAGTTTTTCGATCAGTGGTCGAATTTCATGATTCCAAACAACCCAACCCCCCCTCCCCTACCCCTATGTGGTGCATTTCAACAAGCCAAGATTAGTGTCTTCCTAGTATCGAATTTCAGTCCTTGAAATGTTTCTGAAAGAAAAGGGTCATGTCCCCTGATCTATAAAAAAGACAGGCTTGAGCTTCCTATTGTCTTGAAACATCAAAGTTTGAAGCCCGTTCAATTTCAAAAGGAAGAGGGCCATTCCCCAGAAACAATACTTCAACGATATGGAGACGTGAGAGCTGCAATGCTGTGTGTATGAGTCCTGAAAAAGAACAAGACAAGAACAGCTGAAGACATTGCTAGGACTGACACTTAAGGCCGTCTCCTAGCATGGGCTGTTCTGTGGCCCTCTACCCGGATGGCGACACTCTGGTCACATTAGAAGCTCGATTCAGTCTTTTTTATAGATCAGTGGTCACATGGCCCTGGTTGAGTATCTACCTGGAAATGTGACATTTTCAACGCTTAAATTATTGCGAAAAAATTGGGAGATTGGGGCTAAGCTGCGACCAAAAAAGCGCGAAATCATGTGTTTACGCCATTTATCAAGGTTAAGAAAATATTTTGCGTTCAATTACTCAATCGATGAACGAATAATTGGATAAGGAAATGACTCACCGGAAACGAAGTCTGCCATTTTGCGTAGAATATTAAAATTCACGTGCGTGCTAATTTTTACATACGGAAAACATACCCAATCATATCAGGGCGAAGCCAGAAATTTAGGCCGTCAAGACAACTAAGAATTCACGCAGCTTTTTAAAAGAAATTGTAATACCAATTACCTGATCTTTTGAAATACATATCTGAAGAGCCTGAAGGATTTTGTTAGTGCTAAATTTTGTGTCTAAGTCTACGCGAAATAGAATATATTTAATTTGTATCTAGGTATACTCTATCATGGCGACGTGACCTTTTATCTCAACAAGGCAAGTGGTATTGTAGAATCCAAGCGTTGGTTTCATTGTAGAAAAGATCGTTTAAAAAGCATGATATGGAGTGAAACAAGTCCCAACACTACCCCCGGATTCATCAGGCTCCGTTACCCAGGGTAGCTTTTTTATCAAAAATTGTTGTCAGGGAGTGAGCGTCTTAATTCTAAACGAAGGATCAAATCTTACGTACAAATGAATTCGAGGTTAGCGTAGTTATTATGTATGTTAATTTATGCCATGTTAATTTTTCCTTCTGGTATAGGTTAGCATAGTTATTACGTAGGTTAATTTATGCCAATAGAAAGCGGATAACTTTGTAAAAAGGGATAAAAATGACGGGCAACAGGGGCCGGGAGTCAGCGTACACGTCCTCCCACTTATCGGTCTTTTTAATGTTGGGAAAAGGGAAATGTTTTGGATTAATAGTGGGGGGATGTTTAATGTAAAGTTTTCTTTATGGTGTGATTGCATGATATTAAAACTGCCTTTACATCAGCAAGAATAGGCATGGGGAATCCGCAATGGGTATTTTCTAGCAATGAAAAGGGCACGGGGGGGGGCTCATATCAGAGAAAGTGTCTTAGTATGACCGACTACGTCTCGTTTTCACATTCAGCCTCTTTGTCGGGATATTGTTTGCTCTTCTCCTGACTGGTGTATGACCCATAGAAATAGCATGTTCAAATGAAGATCACATCCTAGCCTTGGATTGTTTTAAGAAAGCTCTCTGTCAGGGTGGCAGACCTTTCTTGCCCAGGCTTCATATAAATCACACAGGGGTGCACGCAAGAAACATTTTGCAACGGGTTACAGCTCAAATGTGACCAGCTCTAGAATAACCTTTCTAAAATAAACAAAATGGGAACGAATCCTTCCCGATATAATTTCGCACACCAGCTCAGCTGTGGTCTTCACGCAGTATCGTGTTTCTACCCCTACGAAGTTTGCTAATACCTCTTCGAAATATTTACCCTCTCATTCATTCTTTTGGTTTTAACAAGTATTAGAACATATTTATATGGTAATCCTTTATTCTTCAATCTTCCATGGGCAGACGTGGAATACAAAGCTATGCAATTCTCATCACGTTATAATAGAATGAAAGCTTATAAACCTTAATATGGTAATCCTTGAAACTTGAATCTTTCAATACAAAGTTATGTAATTCGCATCACGTGATAATAGGGAAAGACAAGGCAAGTGAGATTACGACCTTTCAGCATGCTGCATACAAACTTTTGCGATGCGATAGACTTGCTCTAAGTCTTTTTTGTGCTTGAGAGAGGAGTATTGGTTTCCCTCCTGTGTATCTCTGCGAAGGAGACGGACGGATGGAGAGGTGTAAATTCCCGCCGTCCGTCTCCCCCGCAGAGGTACACAGGAGGGTAACCAATACTCCTCTCTCAAGCATAAAATAGAGTTAGAGCAAGTCTAGGGATGCGATTATCCCACAGAAACTCTTAACCGGCTGGAAGGCTGAATGACATTATAATTTATGCGCAGGCGCGTATTTGCATGTTTATGAAGAAAAATAACGTGCGTGAGGGGAGAGCTGGGAGGTATGTTATAAATCAGAAGATGGGATGAAAATTGCATGTAAACATCCAGGGATCATCCTGTGTGCCAGCTCAGTAGAAAAATAACTGACAACATGAAAGTTGGGATGTAAGATATGTGTTGTGAAGTCATTATATTTCGCAGCCCACGCCATTATGGGGGATTCCTACTCGTCCCAGTCTTCTTACGTTATATATTCACGCCCTATATTGTAAGCTTTTGAAATAGCGAAGTTGCGATAAAGACACGATATAAGATCATGATAGGCTAACAAGTTACGTTTACGTTATAGTTGTATATAGTCACGTTTTGTATATATTTAAAGATAAAATCAACGATATGGAGTTTCATTTACGTCTACGCTCTACCGAAGCTATGTTCAAAATAATGTTATAGAAAGTGCGATGGAAAGTAGGATAGATAATGAGATAGAGGCTGGGGTGAAGGGTTCGATGGAAAACGGGATTAAATACTTCAAGCAATTATCTTATTCTTAAACTCCTCAGAATTGTCCTAAAATTTTTCGCATTGCATTATTTAGTTATAAATGCTAGTCGATATTTTGCAGAAGGAAAATATCTACTGTTGATACCTGATGGTCTCTAAACTATGGCTCTATGATACTTTGACCTTATGACCATTTGTGCTATGACCATATGACCTTTTGATATCATGACCTTATGACCTAATGATGCTATGACCTTATTTCCTTATTAATACTATCACTTTATCACCTTACGATGGCATGACCTTATCACCTTATGATGGTATGACCTTGTGATTGTATGACCTTATCACCTTATGATGGTATGACCTTATGATTGTATGACCTTATCACCTTATGATGGTATGACCTTGTGATTGTATGACCTTATCACCTTATGATGGTATGACCTTATGATTGTATGACCTTATCACCTTATGATGGTATGACCTTGTGATTGTATGACCTTATCACCTTATGATGGT